TGCTAAAGTTGAACGAGCTGATGGATATGAACCACCAGTCCAGGAATCTGTTTAACATCCGGGTTTTAAGATTGACAACTAAAAAGTCCTATTTGTGGAAAAAAAAAAAAAATATATATATATATATAGACAAGTGGGACCACATCAAACTAATGAGCTTCTGCAAAGCAAAAGAAACCATCAAAAGAGGAGGGAGACATCCCACAGAATGGAAAAAATATTTGCCAACTGTTTATCTGACAAAGGCCTAACATCTAGATCTATAAGGAACTCAAATGCATCAAAAAGAAAAACACAAACAGCCCCATTACAAAGTGGGCAAAAGACATGAACAGACCCTTTTCAAAAGAAGATATATGGGCAGCCAACAGACACATGAAAAAGTGCTCAGCCTCACTTATCAAAGAAATGCAAAGCAAAACCACATTGAGATACCACCTAACCCCAGTTAGAATGGCCATCATTAATAAAACAAACAACAGGTGCTGGCCAGGATGCGGAGAAAAAGGAACGCTTCTACACTGCCGGTGGGAATGCAAACTAGTGCAACCTCTTTGGAAGATAGTGTGGCGATTTCTGAAAGAACTAGAAACTGACCTTCCATATGACCCAGCAATCCCCCTATTGAGAATATACCTGGAGGAACTCAGCTCATTCTACAAAAAAGATACATGCACACGTATGTTTGTTGCAGCTCTATTCACAATAGCAAAAACATAGAACCAACCATGTTGCCCATCGAAGCTGGACTGGATAAAAAAACGTGGTACATATACACAATGGAATATTATGCAGCCATAAAGAAGGACAAACATATGGACTACGCAGCAACTTGGATGGATTTAGAGTCAATCATACTTAGTGATCTATCACTGAAACAAAGGACAGAGTGCCATATGTTTTCATTCATAAGTGGACCTTGAATGATTATAATACTGTAAGAAAGGGATTGGTAGTAGTGGGAAACTGTTAGGGGAGATGGGGTGGGATTGGCAGTTGAGGAACACTGCTAGGGAAGGGAGGGGCATACCTCATCAACAAGGTACCTGCATAATCAACGTTTGTAAACCTAACCCTGAATTGTACCCCACATCTTTATAATAAAAACAAAATAAAATAAAAATTTTTAAAAGTTCATATTTTTAAAGTTCATATCATGGAGCTATTTTTTAACTGGTGAGTTTAGTTAAATTTTTACAATTAGTGATACGTTAGATTTATTTCTACTATATAATTTTGATATTTTCTAGTTACCATTCTTTTTAAAAATGCTTGTTCTCTTTTTGCTACCTTCTGTTGGATCAGTTCAATTTTGTCTACTCCTCTTTACTCTTTGTTGGTTTGAACATGATGTATTCTATTTTTATTACTGTAAGGTTAATTTAAAATTTTTAGCTTGCATACTTAGTCAACAACTTTCTGCTCCTCCCTAACAATATTAAAGTTTTAAAACATTTTATTTACTTATTTGTGTGTTTGTTTGTTGAGTCAGGGTCTCACTCTGTTACCCAGGCTGGAATGCAGTGGCACGACCATGGCTCACCACAGTGTCAACCTCCTGGGCTCAGGCAAACCTTCTACCCTCAGCCTCCCGAGTAGCTGGGACTACAAGTGCACGACACTATGCCTGACTATTGTTTTGATTTTTCTGTAGAAATGAGGTCTTACTATGTTGCCCAGGCTGGTCTTGAACTCCTGAGCTCAAGCCATCCTTCTGCCTTGGCCTCCAAAGGGCTGGGATTACAGCTGTAAGCCACCCCCATCCCCGGCCTCTTCTAACATTTTAGATAGTGTCATTTCTTCATTATTTATTTGTGTTCTTATTAAATAGTTTAGTTCCATCTTGCTTTAAAGTCCCCTAAATTAGTTATAATAATATTAATTATTGTTTTATAAAAAGTCAGTTCCTGTTTAGGTTTTCCATATGTTTATTCATTTCTTTGCTCATTCTTTCTTACAGTGTCTCTTCCTTCTGGATTCAATTTCTTTCTTACTGGTCTTCCTTCATCCTTGTAAGTGCAAGTCCGGTAATAATACTCTCTTATTTTGCTTCCCTCAAAAGGTCTTTATTATTTCTTACTACTGAGTGATTATTTCCCTGGGAGAATCTAAGGTACCCATTGTTTTCTCTTAGCAGTTAGAAAATATTATCCCATTGTTTTCTGCTATTGTATATGCTTTGTTATTTTGACAGATATTTTCAAATTTCTGTACATAGGGTTTATAAACAATTTGCAATTTATAGAGCATGGGATCCATTTTTACCTTTTTAAAAACTTCAAGTAGTATAAATTTATTTTCTGCACCTGAGCATGGGGTAGACCCAGAACTTTGATTTCTGTAGGCATCCTAGATAGAGCAAGTTTTCCTATTCACTTGGCAGATGGGTAGAGCATGCCTAGTCTCTGTATCATGGCATATGTGCCTTTTCAAGCTCCCGTTTGATTTCAGGGCCTTGGTTTCAACTCCTTCAAGTATGGCCCTGTTTCTTTGTGGACATTAAAAGGCTTGACACTTAGACTAGATCTTACATCTAGTTTCTTATTTTCTCTGGCTTCTACAGTTCACCTTTAGACTTTGTCACTCTGTTTTGGTTTCCTCTTGAAGAAAATTTCCCTTTCTCTCTTTTGAGCTCAGCCATATTGTTTTTTTTAAAAATGTGTTTGTTGCTGGGCTCGGTGGCTCAGCCTGTAATCCCACGCCTTTGGGAGGCTGAGGTGAGTGGATTGCCTGAGCCCGCGGGTTTGAGACTCTCCTGGACAACTTGGCGAGACCTCATCTCTACAATAAATCAAAAATTAGCCAGGCGTGGTAGCGTGTGCCTGTAGTTCCAGCTACTTGGAAGGCTGAGGCGGAAGGATCGCCGGAGCCCAGCAGGTCGAGGCTGCGGTGGCCGGGAGCAGCCACTGCACTCCAGTCTAGGCGACAGAGTGAGACTCCAACTCAAAAAAAAAAAAAATGTGTTTTGTTATTTGTTCAATTGTGTAAAATATGCATAACATAACATTTATCATTGTAACCATTTTGAAGTGTACAATTCAGTGGCATTAAGTACATTTACATTGTTGTACAACCATCACCACTATCTGTCTTTTTTCCTTGCAAAACTGAAACTCTGTATCCATTAAACAATAACTCTCCATTCCCCCTTCCTTCTGCTCCTGGTAACTACAATGCTGCTTTCTGTCTCTATGAATTTGACTGTTCTATGTACCTCATATGAGTGGGATCAGATAGTATTTGTGTTTTAGTAACTGACTTATTTCACTTAGCATAATGTTGTCTAGGTTCATTCATGTTGTAGTGCATATCAGAATGTCTTTTTAAGGCTGAATAATATTCATCATATATCTCTACCATATTTTGTGTACTCATTCATCCATGATGGGCACTTAGGTTGTTTCAATCTTTTGACTATTATGAATAATGCTGTTATGAGCATGGGTATGCAAATATCTGTGTCCCTATTTTCAGTTCTTTTGAGTATATAACCAGAAGTGGAATTATTGGATGATATAGTAATTCTGTTTTTAATTTTTTGGGAAATTGCCCTTTATTTTTCATATCTACCAGCAGTGCACAAGGGTTCCAATTTCTCTACATCTTCACCAACACTTGTTATTTTTTGATAATAGCCATCCTAATGAGTGTGAAGTGGTATCTCATTGTGAGTCATATATTTTCTCTAGCATTTTAATGTTTGTAAATTAAGGGTGAGGTGAAAGGTGGTTCACATTAGCTAAGACTGCTATGTGCTAGAACTGCTAGACCTATCTGTTTTTAATGCACATTATTTAACTAATTTTTCTATATTTTGGAGAGTATCCAAATGCTAAGTACATAAAAAATGCATGACAGTTCCCTTGAAAATAAAAAAGACTTTATCCTAAAATTGTTTAATAAATCTCCCAGTTTCACTTAGAGTATCACGAGCCAAGAATCATAATCCCCCTGTCTGCCATTCTCTGGCTTGTTTCTAACCTATCTTTTTTTTTACAGTCCTTTCTGTAACAATAGCTATTTCTTTGCAATCACTTTATTGGTACCATCACTAATGCTTTATGTTTTGATCCTGTCTCAGAGTCATACATTACTACCCTCCCAGCCTCCCACAATATTACTGCCATCCCAGGGTTTTGGCTCTTGAAAATAATTCAGTTTAATATCTCTAGATATTAAGGCCTTGTAACAATCCATTCACACTTCCTTTACAGCTGCCTATATAATTGTCAAAGAGATCTAAGGGAACAAGGATATAATCATTAAGGACATCCCCAGTGACTCTGTAAATAGTCTTGCTTTCCTTATCCTACTCTAGATTGAGGTCTTTAAGATTATCAACGAGGAAATCAAGTGCCCCATGAATTACATTTAATCTTCAATCATACTTTTCCTGGCCAGATGTTTAGACTATATCAAAAAGGGACAGAGATGGGAAACTGAAAGATCAGTGTTTTGGTTGGTTTTAGTGCAAAATAAACATATGCTGCTAAGTGTTTATAAGGACAACCTTTCAATATGGAGTTGATTGTGGATTCCTGACTACCCTCCTCCTTAGCTGTTTTGTCAATATCAATCTTTCTTTAAAGGGGAAACTTGGGGCCCTGAATTGGCCCTTTGCTGAGGGATATTGTTAGAAGACACAGAGAGAAAGGAAGTACCACGGTGTTGGTGTTTCCCTAGAACCCTCAGATGGTAAAATTGACTTTCCCACGGGTCTGACTTGCTATCTTCTCCATGCTTGGCAGAGTTCTTGACATTACAGAACTGAGCTGATGACAGTCACAATGAGCAATGACCATAGTCTCCTTCCTTCTGAGACTTTCCCAACATTCCTCAATTACTTAGTCCAAGAATCAGCTGGCGTAGCCCTCTGTCTGCTCACTGCCTGGGCCAGGGTGAAGCCAAGTGTCTTGTTGGACAAATAGCCTGTGGGCCCGAATCTGGCTCCTGCCCATGCCTTGGAGAGAAATCTAGATG